CAGCTACTCGGGAGGCTGAGGCAGGAGAATGGTGTAAACCCAGGAGGCGGAGCTTGCAGTGAGCTGAGATCCGGCCACTGCAGTCCAGCCTGGGAGACAGAGCGAGACTCCGTCTCAAAAAAAAAAAGAAAAAAAAAATTTTCCATCCTGGCTAACACGGTGAAACCCCATCTCTATTAAAAATACAAAAATTAGCCAGGCGTGGTGGCACATGCCTGTAGTCCCACTACTTGGGAGGCTGAGGCAGGAGAATCACTTGAACCCGGGAAGCAGAGGCTGCAGTGAGCCGAGATTGCGCCACTGCACTCCATCCTGGCGACAGAGCGAGACTCTGCCTTTAAAAAAAAAAAAAAAGAGGCCAGGCATGGTGGCTCGCGCCTGTAATCCCAGCACTTCGGGAGGCTTAGGCAGGCAGATCATGATGTCACAAGATCGAGACCATCCTGGCTAACACGGTGAAACCCTGTCTCTACTAAAACTTCAAAAACTTAGCCAGGCACGGTGGTGGGCGCCTGTAGTCCCAGCTACTCGGAAGGCTGAGGCAGGAGAATGGCGTGAACCCGGGAGGCGGAGCTTGCAGTGAGCTGAGATCATGACACTGCACTCCAGCCTGGGTGACAGAGCAAGACTCCATCTCAAAAAAAAAAAAAATTTTTTTTAAGATGATGTATTTTTAGCTGTAGTAACCTAGAAAGTAACAGAGAAAAGGCTTTCTCAATTTACTCTTATTTTCTTTTTTCAGATAGGGTCTCACTCTGTTGTTCGGACTGGAGTGCAGCTACATGATCATGGCTCACTGCAGCCTCTGACTCGTAAGCTCAAGTGATTCTCCCACCTCAGCCTTGCAAAGTAGCTGGGACTACAGATGCACGCAACCACACCCAGTTAATTTTTTTATTTTTTTGTAGAGACAGGGTCTCACCATGTTGCCCAGGCTGGTCTCCAACACCTGGACTCAAGTGATCGTCCTGCCTCAGCCTCCCAAAATGCTGGGATGACAGGTGTGAACCACCGTGTCCAGACGACTACTACTACTTAATTAAAAAAAAAAAAATAGAAAATCTTAAGGGAGAGAGAAAAGGAAACCACTTTTAAAAAAAAAAAAAAAAAGGCTTATATTAAACGGGCCCGTCTTTTTTTTTTTTTTTTTGAGACAGTGTCTCACTCTTTCGCCCAGGCTAGAGTACAGTGGCACCATCTCAGCTCACTGCAACCTCTACCTCCCAGGTTCACATTCACATGCCTCAGCCTCCCAAATAGTTGGGATTACAGGCACATACCACCACACCCAGCTAATTTTTTTTTTTTTGTATCTTTTTTTTTTTGAGACAGAGTCTCACTCTGTCACCCAGGCTGGGGTGCAGTGGCCAGATGTTAGCTCACTGCAAGCTCCGCCTCCTGGGTTTATGCCATTCTCCTGCCTCAGCCTCCCGAGTAGCTGGGACTACAGGCACCCACCACCACGCCCGGCTAGTTTTTTGTATTTTTTAGCAGAGACGGAGTATCACCGTGTTAGCCGGGATGGTCTCGATCTCGTGACCTCGTGATCCGCCCATCTCGGCCTCCCAAAGTGCTGGGATTACAGGCTTGAGCCACCGCGCCCGGCCTTTTTCTGTATTTTTAGTAGAGACACGGTTTTGCCATGTTAGCCAGGCTGGTCTTGAACTCCTGACCTCAGGTGGTCTATCTGCCTCACCACCTCATCCACAGCACTTAGCCAGTACGGACCAGTACGGCGACTTTAAATAGCTATAGGCCAGGCATGGTGACTCACACAGGAAATCCTAGGACTTTGGGAGGCTGAGGTAGAAGTATCACTTGAGCTCATGAATTCAAAGCCAACCTGAGCAACATAGCAAGACCTCATCTCTACTAAAAATAAAAATTAAAAAATTAAGTCAGGCATGGTGGCTCATACCTGTAATCCCAAAACTTTGGGAGGCCGAGGTGGGTGGATCACCTGAGGTCAGGAGTTCGAGGCCAGCCTGACCAACAAGGAGAAACCCCGTATCTACTAAAAATACAAAATCAGCCGGGCAGTACATGCCTGTAATCCCAGCTACTCAAGAGGCTGACACAGGAGAATCGCTTGAACCTGGGAGGCAGAGATTGCAGTGAGCCAGGATCGTGCCACTGCACTCCAGCCTGGGCAACAAGAGCGAAACTCCGTCTCAAAAATAAATAAATACATAAATTAATGTAATTTAATTTAATTTAAAAATTAGCCGGCATGCTGGGTACACACCTGTAGTCCCAGTTACTGAGAGGTAGAGGTGGGAGGACTGCTTCAGCCCGGGGGACAGAGGTGGAAGTGAGCTATGATGGAGCCACTGCACTCCAGCCTGGGTGACAGAGCGAGACCTTGTCTCAAAAAATAAATAAAAATTAAAAATAAAAAAATTAAATAACCATAGTATGCTTGCTGAACCTAGTAGGTTAGAGAAAATAAATGTGGTCCCTGCTCCCAAAGAACTTAAGAGTCTTATTGAGGAATCTTTCCCACCCCTTCCAAACTCATAAATGTAAACATCAGAGAAAACAGGGAAGAGATTTTCTAAAACAAGAGTTAGGAACTTAAGGTAAATGCATTGGCTCTTTGGGGACAGAAAAATAATGACTGGCTGGAAAGCCTTTTGAGTTTAAGGTAAAGCTATCCTACACATCAAAGTCCATATGACAAGCATCAGAAGCCATGGAAAGGTATAATCCATAACTAGGAGTCAAGAGGTTCAGCTCAGGTTCTAACAGGCTGTGTAACCTTGGGCAAGTCACTTCACTCCTCTAATCCCAAAATGGCTCTTCTGTAAAATGGGCATAATAAGACCCTACTGGCAAAGTTGTCTGTGATGATTAAACGAGTAACACGAAATCACTTTGAAAGGTTTTACGTGACATACCAACTTAACATTAAGAGGAAGCAACAATCATTCCTCTGAATGTAGCATAAATCCTGTGGTTCAACTTCCAAAGTCTAAACCTGACTCACCTTCTTAGCCTTGTTAAACCCCTCAACCAACCTGTGGTCACTGAGTGAGAGGAGACGAGTCATGTGTGAGGCTCCAGGGGTGGGGCAGTGACTACTCAGTCAGTTGCTCCACATCTCAGTGGCTTCATCTATAAAATGGGTGGAGTATAATTCACGCAGGTATCCACAGATAATGCAGGTCTGAGGAACAGAGTGCAGATTTTACCAAAAGTGCAGAAAATATTTACATAAACCTCCTGCCCCCCAAGGATAAAAAACCAAGGTCATCAAATATCATCATTCCCTGGACATAAGTAGAAAGACCCTTAGAGATCATTTAATCTCTTGCTTTATAAAGGGGAGAACTGAAACCCTGACACATGAGTTATAGAAGTCTCGAGCTAGTCAGGGGCAGAGCTAGGACTAGGGCCCAGAGCCACAGATTCCAAGGTACAGTGACCTCTTTGCCAGATCACAGCATCACCCAAGGTTCCTATATGACATGTTATCAACCCCAAGACACATTACAATTTAACCAACGGCCAAACGTAGGCTACCGAAGGGAGAAACTGTTAAGACTCTGGGGGAAGGAGGGAGGCTAACAGCTGGGGAAGTTGGGAAAGGGAAAGCTTCTCTGAGGAGGTGCATTAAGTCCCAGGAGTACATAACAGGAAATTATGGAAATATTTCAGTAGGCAGACTTGGGAAGAAAGACCTGATGGATAAAATTTTCTCTAGAGAAGAGAAATAAGTTAGATTTATAAGACCAGAAGGCTTTGGTTGAACATTCCTTGATTATATGCAATTTAGTCCTTTTGTTGTAACCTGAGTTTCCAACACTTGGTAATATTTTTAATTCCCTTATCTATTGTCTCCCTATGAGACAGGACCTTCTGCAGAGACCACATCCAGTTTAGTGGTTAAGTATGGAGTCTCTGGACTCAGATTGCCTAAATTCAAATCCTTGCTTTACCACTTAATAGCTATGTGACCTTGGATAAATTCCTTCACCAATCTGTACCTCTGTACCACCCATTTCAGGAGGTTTTGTGAGGATTAAATGTGTATAAGCGATCACAACTTACTAATGGGTTTTTAATCACTTTATAACGTGTCCTTTTTATATATAAAGAATAGAAATTACCCAAGTATACTACGTGTAGCAACAAGTACTGTTTTGCAAAGATTTTGTTACACATGTGTGCATACATGTCTTAAGTCAAAATGTAAAATTCGTTTCTTACAGTGTTTTTTTTAAAAATGTGAACCACTGAAGACATAAAATAAGGCTTAGAATAATGCCTAGCATACAGTAAGCACCTAGTGCTATAACTGTCATCGTTGCTGTTATGTACCTATTAAATGTGTTTGTAGAGTTATATAAGCCTACATGAAACCACTTTGGAAAATATATCTGATAGTAACGCAAGTTAAAAGCAAAGCCTTTCTCTTTGCCTCTCATATCCGCACAATCAGAGCCCTGCTCAGGCACCCGTTTGTTGCTTGGCCCACTAGCTACGTGTTGCACTCAACTGAAGGGTCCATAGACTGACCTAACACTCTGTCATGCTCTGTCAATCTCTGCAGAGAAACGGAGGCTTCGTGCCAGAGTGAATTTATTTTTACCTGGTTGGTGTGCTGGGGTGGGGAAGGCAAGAGTCAAGCCCATGGGGAGCTGAGGGAAGCAAGTGAGTCATACAGAAAACTGTTTGCTCCCCCAGAGCCAGGTAGACTCAAACGTGCCACAGACAAGGCCAGACCGACAGATACCTGAGCCTCTGGGCGGGCTGAATCATTTCCCCCTCCCTATCCTCACCAGACACTGCATAAGACACCATTTCAGCCCGCCTGCCTGTTACAGGTGTAGCTCTTATCAGGAAAAGCTGGGAGCCGCCAAACAGACACAAAAGGGGGCTAACTACACAACAAAGGTTACCTCAAGGGCTCATTTAAATGACAAGCTCACCTAAACGTTTAAAATAGCATTTAAATTCCAAAACCCTGATTTATAGAAAAATCTGGAAAATGTGCTCACCAGTAAGGAAATCTGGAGGTCCATCCCCGACATTGTGTGACCTTGAATTAGGCACTTCATCTTTATGTTTTAAAGTGTCTTCCTCTGTTCAAAAAAGAGAGAAAGAGATAAGAACACCTACCTCAGAGGATCACGGTAAAAATTAAAGATAGAATACGGTGAAATGCCTTGCATCGGATGTGCTGGCACTGGCCAATACACAATAAACGCCTGTCCCTTCTAAACTAAGAGTGAACACCGAATTGTGGTAAACTATTAGTAAGATTCACCGGCCAACCGGTCTATGAAAAAGTCAGAGGCATTCTGGTCTCTTCGTATTTCTCGTTCGCTCCAGCACAACCGCCCATGCTAGGAAGTCTAGAAAAGCAGTAATTTATCTCATTCTTTAAATTAAGCAGAGGTTTCTAAATGCTTTGGTACTGTGGGGACCCAAAATATCCCTTGATACTGCCCCCTATTATTCATCGTTAAGCTTTAAAAAGGCGAGAGATTAAATATCGTGCCTACATTTTACAGTTATTCGCGTTCCCGTTTCAAATTAAAGGGAGGGAAACGCGTTAAAATTAGGCTTCCGAACTTCAGACCAGCCTATGGGGTTTTCTAGGTCATAAAACTCGCGGAGCAGGAAAGGCCCCGGGGAGGAAGGGGGCTACATTCTAGAGCTTTCGGGCCGACCCCAATTTCTCGTTGGCGACGAATGCTAGCCACGTGTCGCCATTTTGTGTTCAGGCAACATGGCGGCCGCCCCTCAGGAAGGAACGGGGGAGGCCGAGTAGCGCCACGTTAGCCGCTTTCCCTGAGGGATTCTGAAGCACGTTGTGCACGGGGCCCTTTCTGGTCTGGCTTAGCCCAAGGAGGAAGGGGAAAGGGCAGAAATCACAACTCGTATGCCAGCGTCTTAAACGACACTTCCTCAGCGGGAGGAACCTGCAAAAAAGGCCTTCCAAGATGGCGGGCCACGGGGCCGCCCCCGGAGAGTCGGGTGCGGTGGCTGCGCCCATGGGCCCGAAAGGCAGCCGCGGGAGCCCAGGCCGCGCGGGAAAAGCCGCAGAAACGTCCTGAAGCCCTGGCCGGCATCCCCTGAATAAACAAGGCCTCCACAGGCGCACACTATTGTTTCTAATGTCGGAAAAGGGTGCCGCGATGGAAACGACACAAGGGCAGGAGGTGGGGTTTCTGGGGCTTTAACCGAAAGAAACTTGCGAAACGCAAACAAAGCATTATGTAAATGGACGCCATTCTTTCTAGGACCACGTTTCTAGCACGCCCCGCAAACAGCAGAGCCGCGATTCGAGAGGCGGCAGTGAGCGGGTTTCGGTCTTTCTGCCCACCGGCCGCCGCCGGGGGGCAGGGGCTGGGGTGGGGGGTCGATGCGGCGCGCCCGGACGCCGGGGACGAAAAGGCCCCACGTGCCCGCCCGCGCGCACCCGCTCTGCAGGCCTCGCCTCGCCGCCCCTCCCCCGCCGGAAGACGGCGTCTGCCCCTCCCATCCCCCCACACCCTCGCGCACGCGCCCTGGTCACCTCGCGCGCACGTTTTAAACCCGCGGCGTCCCGGCTTGTGCCTGCAGTTTCCGCCTGGGCTGCCCGTGTCGTTCCTCGCACGACCCCCCCTCATGTAGGGCAGGAAAACAATGTCTGTCCCCCATACACAACGCTAGTATTTTCAGTCACCCGCCAGTGCCGTTAGAGTTAATAAAATACGTAATCATTTTAAAACTTTGCCGGACTCACAGTTTCCGCCCATAGTGCGCTTGATTTTCACTACTGCAGTGTCAGAAGGGTTTTTTTTTTAAGGACCATGTGAGGGTTGGCGCAATCTTGTGACCTAAAAAAGACGGGTCCTCATTTTTTTTCAAGGGGTCCTGCGCAGCAAGCACTTCCGGGGTCAGAGGGTACGCGGGGTTGAAAGCGGGCTTCCCGCCCCGCCCAGACCGCCGAGGCTGCCGCCGGAGTCGCCACCGCCGCGCCCTCGCCCACCCGCCCGCCCGCCGCTCCCGGCCCCGCTCGCCCCCTCCGCCGCCGCCGCCCGCCCCTGCGACTACGCTGCGGCCTCCCGCCCGCTCCCGCTCGCTCCCGCGGCCCTCGCTCGCCTCGCGCCGGCAGTTTTGGGCCTACACCTCCCCTCCCCCCGCCAGCCGCGAAAGACTTGACCACGTAACGAGCCCAACTCCCCCGAACGCCGCCCGCCGCTCGCCATGGATGCCGGTGTGACTGAAAGTGGACTAAATGTGACTCTCACCATTCGGCTTCTTATGCACGGAAAGGAAGTAGGAAGCATCATTGGGAAGAAAGGGGAGTCGGTTAAGAGGATCCGCGAGGAGAGTGGCGCGCGGATCAACATCTCGGAGGGGAATTGTCCGGAGAGAATCATCACTCTGACCGGCCCCACCAATGCCATCTTTAAGGCTTTCGCTATGATCATCGACAAGCTGGAGGAAGATATCAACAGCTCCATGACCAACAGCACCGCGGCCAGCAGGCCCCCGGTCACCCTGAGGCTGGTGGTGCCGGCCACCCAGTGCGGCTCCCTGATTGGGAAAGGCGGGTGTAAGATCAAAGAGATCCGCGAGAGTACGGGGGCGCAGGTCCAGGTGGCGGGGGATATGCTGCCCAACTCCACCGAGCGGGCCATCACCATCGCTGGCGTGCCGCAGTCTGTTACCGAGTGTGTCAAGCAGATCTGCCTGGTCATGCTGGAGACGCTCTCCCAGTCTCCGCAAGGGAGAGTCATGACCATTCCGTACCAGCCCATGCCGGCCAGCTCCCCAGTCATCTGCGCGGGCGGCCAAGATCGGTGCAGCGACGCTGCGGGCTACCCCCATGCCACCCATGACCTGGAGGGACCACCTCTAGATGCCTACTCGATTCAAGGACAACACACCATTTCTCCGCTCGATCTGGCCAAGCTGAACCAGGTGGCAAGACAACAGTCTCACTTTGCCATGATGCACGGCGGGACCGGATTCGCCGGAATTGACTCCAGCTCTCCAGAGGTGAAAGGCTATTGGGCAAGTTTGGATGCATCTACTCAAACCACCCATGAACTCACCATTCCAAATAACTTAATTGGCTGCATAATCGGGCGCCAAGGCGCCAACATTAATGAGATCCGCCAGATGTCCGGGGCCCAGATCAAAATTGCCAACCCAGTGGAAGGCTCCTCTGGTAGGCAGGTTACTATCACTGGCTCTGCTGCCAGTATTAGTCTGGCCCAGTATCTAATCAATGCCAGGCTTTCCTCTGAGAAGGGCATGGGGTGCAGCTAGAACAGCGTAGGTTCCCTCAATAACCCCTTTCTGCTGTTTTCCCATGATCCAACTGTGTAATTTCTGGTCAGTGATTCCAGGTTTTAAATAATTTGTAAGTGTTCAGTTTCTACACAACTTTATCATCCGCTAAGAATTTAAAAATCACATTCTCTGTTCAGCTGTTAATGCTGGGATCCATATTTAGTTTTATAAGCTTTTCCCTGTTTTTAGTTTTGTTTTGGGTTTTTTGGCTCATGAATTTTATTTCTGTTTGTCGATAAGAAATGTAAGAGTGGAATGTTAATAAATTTCAGTTTAGTTCTGTAATGTCAAGAATTTAAGAATTAAAAAAAACGAATTGGTTAAAAAATGCTTCATATTTGAAAAAGCTGGGAATTGCTGTCTTAAACTCTTTGTTGGTGCCTTTTTTTCCCTCCCCTTTTAGCCTGAGGTGTTTGGAGGGAGGAGGGAGAAGGGTGGGCCCGTCCTTGGTATTCTCTGAAGCTCTTCTCACCTTATCGGTAAGATTCCATTCCCTCTGTGCCCCAACAAAGGAACACAGCAGGCTGGGCCTGCTTTGGGATGTTTCCAGGGACAGAGGGGTTCAAGTTCCAGAGAGAGGCCTCATGCCCATTTCTCTGGTAGAAACAAGGTTTTCTCGAGGGGAAAAGGTGTGCCCACTCAGTAGGACCTCTGAATGGCAGAGCGTCCTCTCCATCTAACCAGTTCCCCCCACCCCCACCTCACAGGATAAACTTAGGAACAAAAAAAATACTCTGGAGTGGGAGGAGCCTGGGGGAGGGAAAGGAAGGGAGGGCAGTGGGCAGTGGGGGGGATTGGGGGCTTGGAGGAGGGTAACAGCTGCCGGGTGGTGGTGGGACTAGAGGGGTCTTGGTTGGGCAGCAGGGATGGGAAGGGGGGAGGGGATAGTACCAACGAGACGCACGTGTCAAGCATGCACCTGTGGCAAGCAGCCTGTCAGAGGATGTTATTACACCTGCCAAGTGGTGTATCCAGAAACAAAAGAGGCCCAGTTTCCAATTCTTCAGCTGTGTGCAATGTTTAGAGAATCACTATACCAGGAAATAATCCTGCTTAAATGGGTCAGTCCTCACAAGGTGGGAATGTAGACCGATGCACTGACTATAACCTAACAATGATCTGGGTGTTAAAGATGCAGATTCCTCTGTCCCACCCCAAAACTAATCAGCTGCATTTTTAACAAACGCCCCAAAGGAGTCTTAAGATTTGAATGCCACTGATTGTCTTCAGTGGAGGAGAAAGATCCCGCTGTGAAGGCCGTAGCAGCCTCACGCCCACGTCAGCCAATGGGACTATCCTTGACCTGATGAGAAGGAAAACTGCTAGGCAAAGGCAACATTAGAAACAATAGTATGAGAAAATAGAGCCTGAGATGAGGGAAAGAAGAAACAATAGTATCAAACAATAGACCAGTAGGTGCCAAAGTGGGTAGTTCAAACCCCAGGCACTATGGGAGATCACTCATGGCAAAAAGAAGTTCCTGTGGGAAGGGAGTATTATCCACAGTAAATATTTGTTGAGGCTTATTATGTGGTCACGCAGGGTTAGGCAAGCAGTCACTGAAAGGAGCTCAAATTCTGGAGTTAGACTTGCTTTCAAATTTGAGTTCTGCCTCTTATTCATGGCTTTGGGCAAAGTAATCTCTATAAATGAAGATGTTAAAAGTAACACCTTCTGGGCTTGTGAAAATAAAATGAAAGCATGTATATAAAACAGAACAGTGCTTACAACACAGTAAATTTCAGTGAACTCTGGATTATAAAAAGCCAAAAGGCCCATTTCTGGAGGCTGAGGGTTGGCCACAAAATCTGGGCAGAGAAGACATGATTAAAAGGGAACAAAGCAATGTGTATTAAATGAGTTGGACTGAGAGGCTAAGACAGGTGGGGAGGGAGGGGGACCTAGTGAAGACACAGAAGTGGGTACCATGCCTTCTGGGAACAATGAGCAGAAATCCAAGTCAAGGCAAGAGTGGGTGTAAGCTTGAACCCTCAGACACCAAGCCAAATAGTCTGTGAAGAATCCCTGAAACACTGGGTGAAGCAGTTGGAAAGCCCTGTGAAAAGCAGGTCTGAATACCAAAAATTAGGCCAGGTGCGGTGGCTCATGCCTATAATCCCAACACTTTGGGAGGCCGAGGTGGGCAGATCACTTGAGCTCAGGAGTTTGAGACCAACCTGGGCAACATGGTGAAACCTTATTTCTAAAAAAAAAAAAAAAAAAAAAAAAATAGAAAAATTAGACAAGTGTGTTGGTGTGCTCCTGCAGTCCCAGCTATTTGGGAGGCTGAAGTGGGAGGATCGCCCTGCACCTAGGAGATAGACGCTGCAGTGAGCTGTGATCATACCAGTGCACTCAGCCTGAGCGACAGAGCAAGACCCTGTCTCAGAAAAAAGAAAAGTAGGCCTCAAACTTTCCTGAAACTCCTCCCTACTGTATCTTATACTGGGCAAAGCTGGCAATAATTTGTAAAATAATGATTTAGGCAGCAAGGCATAGGACGAATTGCTACTTGGAGAGATGAAAGGCAAGAATAGCAGTTGGCAAACTACCTCAAGGAAGAAGCAGGTACTAATATAGGCTGGCAAGTGGTACCAATAGGAATGCAAGGAAAGGAACTAGTCAATGGCAGAGAAATTGAAACTGGGTGTGGAGGCCAGAGGAAGATGTAAAGAGGGGGAGCAATGAATTCAGGCATGGTGATAGAAGTATATGCAGACAGAAATATTCAACAAGTAGCTAGAAATAGACAAGATTGAGGTGAAGTCAAAGCTGCATAGGAACAGAGGTAAATGAAGGGAAGGGACTGGAGATGGAGTTTTGGGTATTTTGTTGGGTTGAAGGACCTAGTTTTCTTGTTCACTGTCTATCCTAGTACCTGCCACCATACCTGATACATAGCAGGGACTCCGTAAATATTTGTAAAGTGTATGTGGAAGAGGCAGCCAGTGAGGACAGAACCAATAGTTGAAGCAGCAGGAAATAAATCAGGAGAGTGCCCTTGAGAGAAGTCAAGGAGGAACAGTCCAGGACTGACGGAGTGATAATAATGCTGTAAGGAGGTTATTTAACAGATTTGATTGAGCATCTACTGTGGGCAAAGTACTCTGAATTACATCGTGCT